TAATTGGCAGTCAATTAACAGTCAGTTTTCTATATTCCTTGTTTATATTCAGTAAGCCGACTGATCGAAGTAAACTAAGTAATCCCTCCACCTCTCTACCCCCCCTCCCCACCGAGGCAAAAAATAATAACTTATCCCTAAGATACTTTTAGTTCAAAACGAGCCTCTCGTGCACACCTTATACATTGGAAAATCCAAACTGTCTAAAACAGCTCTGATTGTTGTTCCTCCTGCATTGGTGGTGAAATTCTCCAAGCGGTTTATTGATAATTCACTGATTGGGACTCTTCTGGCACTGTGCACAGAAAGCGAACAGGATCAACTAGATCAACTTTTAAAATCTAACATAAGTATGCATATTCCCCATACTGTTCTATGTTGAGTACTAATGATTCCGATAAGGAAAATTTGATTAACAATCAAAAGCTTCTTGAGAAAGCGATCGTTTCCTTTATTTTCATGACCTACAAGTTTTGTTCACGGAATTTCTTTTATTTCTTCTTCCTTTTTTGAGGGCTGAATTGGAGAAATTTTTGCCTCGCGACAAAACATTTTTGCGGTTCGGTTCGCGTATAGCCACTAACTACTCACCTGTCCACTCCAGAATAATGAACTTGATCCAACGGTAGGGCAGAAAACTTATCCACCTCACGTGCAGTACTGTTCTGTAGTTGTTTTGTCATGGCAACTACGTGTGCCTCGTGCGAGCAGATTTTTTGCTGTATGTACTGGAGGAGCTGAGAAGTAAGCAAAAGGGTATGAGAGATTTTAAGTTAAGAATTCTATGATATAGCACCAAAATGAGCACCAACACGACACCGGCGGTTAACGCTAGTTCTTTGTTTCTAAAAAAACGATGAAAAAAAATACACCGCCCGGTTAGCAGTCATAAACAGTAGCTTCGGCCTTACTGCACCTCATCTGCATGGTGGCTAACTGAATAGCAAATGGGATTCAACACAGAGTTTGTGAAGGAATTAAGAGTTGAGTTCCTTCACGCAAAGTGCGCAAGCTGAGCCCAATATCTAAGATAATATGGTAGAGTAAAAAAGTTGCATTTGGATGTGGTGACAGATTTTTGTAAGATTTTGAGACATTTTTTTGTAACCCAAAGTCGCACCTCTCTGGTAAATGTTATACGACGTAAATAAGAGAAAGGGGAATCTCTCTCAGGTGGACACCGAAGAATAAAAGTAAAATGTTAGGGTCATCCCGGTTTGTAAAGCATGAGGCGAACAAGAAGTATTTCAATTTCTCTGAGATGTTAAGCTAATGTAAATCCATCGAAAGCAATTAATTTTCAAATTTCTCTGATTAGAGACCGGTCTTTATAAATCGCCGGAGGGGAGAGGGGGGTTAAGGAATTTTAAGGGGGGGAATGAAAAGGATTTCTGGGGGAACGGAGGGGGGAATCAGTTATCTCCGACAGAGTTTAAAGAGGGGACTATAAGCGATCGATAATGACCGGTTGTAAGGGTTTGCTGCTACCCCGGATGGAGAATGAGACTGGGAAAATATAAGCCTGAACCCTGCACCATGACGAACCAAAATGCGTTTCCTAAATGACGAACAGCGGACGTCCCAAATCCATCGGGAAGAGGAGTATTTCAGGGATAGAACTCCACAATCTGACCTGTAATTGGAGTATGTTTCCCGCTCTGTAGGGAGCGTCGGAATAGAGATATCTTGTTGATGCTCTACGTGCCACTTGGTGTCTAAAGGACCATAATTGGTGCCTCTTAAAGATAGATGAAGATTGTTGACTTACCTCATGTTTTTGCTTCTCGATCCTTGTTCTGGCGTTTGAATTTTGTTTGACAAGAGCTTGGATCATAGCCTGTTTGGTTTGCTGAAACCAAAGAAAATAAATATTAAAATTTAGACAATTTTCTTTCGAGAGTCGAGAGAAATCTACGAATTTTGTTTTACTTAACCCCTTTACACCCTAACATCAGTATGCATATTCTCCATACTGTTCTCTATACATTTCCTAATGCGCTGACAAGAAGAATTTGTTCAACAATTAAGAGGTTCTTCAGTTAATGATCATTTGCTTTATTCTCATGGCCTTAAAGTTTGATTCAGGGCTGATATTGAAAGGAGAAATTAGATGCTAATCACTCTCAAGGATTAAAGGGTCAATACACGTGCCACCCACCAAAGCAAACCAAAGTTTTTTTCAACTTGAATGACACTGAGGTTAGTCTGAGTGTAACCTCCGAGGAGGCTATCACTGATTAGCGCTGCAGGTCATGCGTTTCTCCGCCCACGAGAAGGTTTGAGACGAGTCAGGGCGAGGTTTGTCGGGGGTCTGGCGCTGATTATGATAAGTGCTTGACCCTTTGCAGACCTCTTGCTGGCTCGTGTTGCTAAAGGCCTCATAAGTTCCCGCGGGAAACGAAAGGCTCGTCCCAAAGCGCTCCTAATGTAAGCCTGCTCGTAAGCTAATCTGAGTGAGACTAAGTATTTTGAGATGAACAATGCCACTACATCTCGCTATCAGCATTAATCGCGTTTTATATTTTTTCCTTTAGATCTATGCGCACCTCAGTTGATTCCCTTTTTTTCACACGATTATTCACATTTACAAGACTAAAAGTTTATATTTTCTTGACAAGACCCAATCCTCGATCAACCCTTTACACCCTATCATCAGTTTGTCTATTCTCCAAACTGTTCAGTCTACATTTCGTATAAGAAGCTTAAGAGGATTTGATGAACAATCAAGAGCTTCTTTAGTTTGTGATCATTTCCTTTATTCGCGTGACCTTACTGTTTGATTCAGCGGTGATGTTGTGAGGAGAAATTAGATAAGAGGTCAAAGGGTTTAAAACAACTCACAGCTAGTCTTTCAAAGTCTTGTATCTTTTTGTGTTTCATGATCAAGATTTCCTTGGCCCTTTGCCTTTCATTTCTACACGCGGCCAGTTCGGCCATCGCTGCCTTCATGTAATCCAAGGAGGCTTTTGATGCTGCCAGCTCTAATTCATTGTGAAGCAAAACTCTAACGAAATGAAAAATACTTCAAAACATCAGTCACAACTACCGAAAACAGTCCTTCTCAGGACTACAATCACCCAGACGATTAAATTGCACTAACACAATTTTACTGCAAGCGATGAAATTCTTGCGAGATATCACTGTCGTCTCTCTTCAGACGCGTTCTTTTCTAGCGAGCTGCGTCTCCCTTTTAGTGAGATGCGGCTTTCTGTCAAGTGACTTACCTTGCCAGTTCAATATTTCCAGGAGAGTCTTGGTATCTGGCCACAAAATTAGCCTCCAACTGTTGCTGGAGAGTTTGAAGTCTTTGTCTTCCTCGCCAGGCTTCATTGAGTCCTCTTTCAGATTCAACAAACCTTTGAAAATGGGCAGCTTGACCTTTCTACAAAATATGATAATAATAATGAAAACACAGTATTTCCTCGAATAACCGCCACGGTCATTTGGGTTGAAATTTATCCATTCTGTCTTTTGACTGTTCACTAAATTTCGACCTTCATCCGAGTGGACCTTCTGGTTAACAGTGTACAAATTATGCAACAAGAAGGAACAATTTCAACAATTACTAACCTCTATTAATTGGTGAACACTTTGAAGCAAAGAAGGTGGCGATGAAGTGTCTGTAAGTTTGCCACAGTTTTCATATTTAAACCTGACAAAGAAAAATTTCAAGCCAAGCTTTCACAACAAAACAGTGCGGGTTAAGTGATGGTTAGTAAATAGGTAACGCGGTGGACTCAGGATAAAGAGGTCAACTCAATGCTCTAAGACTGGTCAGGTTTACAGTATTATATTCTTGAAAAGGATACATAGCTCTCACAATGCCTCTTTCCATCCTTATCTTCAACCAGGGCTCAGTTGTATCAAGGGCGGATAACGCTATCCAACAGATAAATCGCTATTCAACGGGTAAGTGAGAGCAAAACGTATAGCGTTATCCACCGGATAGAGATTTTTCTGGTGGATAGCGTTATCCGACCTTTGAACAACTGGGACCTGGAGTACACATGGGGAGAGGTAAGTGGCAAAGAAAATTGACAAATTGTCCGGGGGGCGGTTTGCCTTCAATTGGTTAGTATCCAATGCAGAAGGAGGACCAGCACTCTAGGGGGGCTTTCATGCTAGACAGCTGAAGACAGCGGTATTCGCTCAGAGAGCATAGGGAAACCAAAGTCCTAACAATTATCTTTAACCTTACTTTACAACAGATTGTTAATATTGTTTAGGTTTATAGGTGATAAGCAAAAATCAGAGGCAATCAGAGCTCTATTATTTCCCCCCACTTTCATGTACATTTAGCCTTCCAAACAGGACACGAGTGCGAGACGAGCGCTAAGCGCGAGTCATGCGCGAGGGGAGGGGCAACATTTTTTTTCGCTCTCCTCTCCTTGCGCATGACAAGCGCTTGCCTCCGTTCGTCTCAACGCACAAGAAAAAAATCGCTTATTTACAATGTGTTTCGTAACAGGATATTGTTCTGAACTCTCAACAGAAACGAAACCTACTTGAGTTCTTGAGCATCTTTCTTTAGGTCAATTCTCACAGACAATTCCCGCAGGCTGACTGCAGAGTCCTGGGCTACTCGACACAAAGATGTAAGAACATCTTTTGCCATGTGTTGAGACAAGGCATTCTAAGTCAATAATTAAAAATAAAGAGAGAAAACAAAACAAAACAAAACAAAACAAAATTATAAAGAACAGAGCTCAATGAAATTCGTATTAAAGTGAAAGATATCGCTTCCTTTTGGCCACACGACTGAAATCTGAACTCCGATTATCTGGTTCAAATCCTACTTAAGGTAATCATTAAAGTGGGCACGACATTATGCTCTCACAGTCCTTCAATCCAATAGGTCACTATTATGGAGAGGTGCCCGTAGCATGCATGGAGGTGACATCTTGATGTGGCTCCTAAGTAGCAATGCTACTGGTACATGTCATTTGAGTCTAGATACAGAGACAAGCCGAAGTTGCTCCATCTCAGGTTCCCAAAAATCCGTTTACCTAACAGAACCTCTACTTATGCGTTCAAGAAAAACACGGCAACGACTTAAAAAAAAAAGTTACATCTCATCAAAGTAAAAGGAAACGTTTCAAGTAAACTGACGCTAAACAAACCTCTACTCCAGTCCATAATTGATCTTTTATCTCTCTCTGACTTGCATCCTCAACCCTTTATGTAATGATAATCCAAGAAAAAGATAATTTGTTGCATATTGTCAATCAGTGCTTCAAGCTTAACTTCATTCAAATTCAGCCAAATTTTTTATTATAAATTTGTCACCAATAAAAATAAAGGTTGACAAAAACATTAACAAATGACACCTCGTGCAGTTTACTGGTTTGCCACTGGCCACATCACTTAGCTATGAAGAATAGCCACATGGCGGCCAAACTATAACACTCAAAATTTGAAGAGCATTTAACATCTCCATGGAAAAAATCAAGTTTTGCAGCAGCTTCTTAGAACTAGACTGGGATCTTTTGTTTCTAGAATACATAACAACAGAGATCTGTAGTTTCTATGAATGTTTTACAACAAACAACACCAATTCTCTAAGACTATCCGATAATACTATGCACTTGTAACGTTGTATAAAATTATAAAAATTAATGAGTGCAAGTACGTATGGAATTTCTCTTTAAGTCTTTAACTTGATATCTCATGAATGATAGCAGTGAACGAGCAAAATTTTGAGTTGAATACAAAATGAGAAATTCAATATCGACAAACAATCATTAATCATTTTTTTTATTGTATTGTATAAATATCATATTAGCCCGTTTCTTAAGCAACGTCAAAGGGAAACCTATTACAATGGTGTTATAAAGCCCACCCTCCTGTATGGGAGCATGATATGGGATAGCTACAATGTCAAACATCTTCAAAGTATTTTAAAACTTCAAAAAAGAGCAGCATGCATTATACTCGATGCTGAAAGATTTACACCATCAGTCGTATTATTCAATAATCTAAACTGGCTTCCTTTTACTGAACAATCTCTAATAAAGAGATGTGCACTAGTGCATAAGCGGGTGCACAACTATATTATGCCTAGTTATTTAAATAATGTATTAGTTAGAAATTCAGAAATTCATAATCGAGCTGCTAGACATTCAAATATAAATCTGATGTGCCCTAAGTATAAACGAAAATCTGGAGGTCGTACTTTCACTATTAGGATTATAAAGGACTGGAATCGCATGAATGCTAATATAAGAAATAATGGCTCGCTAGCAAGTTTTAAGCACAACGTTTTTAAATCCTTTCCAGCTGAACAAAAGGCTGCAATGCGCCTTAGACTGTAATTTTGTATATATGAATTATTTATTATATTTTATCTTTTTAATTTATAGTTATTAGTTGTAGCATCTATATTTTATAATTGTTTTTGAGGGCCACAGAGTCATCAGTGTCTTAGGGCTACTGTTAAGTGTTTTTACCCTCTCTAAATAAAGCCTATTATTATTATTATAGGCCTTTAATGGCAGAAAATTGAGAATGGTAACTGCTTTGCCAATCATTCATCAACCTGATAGAGTGATCTGCCAGCAGCTGAATGGCAAAATCAAACACATGCAAAAAGTTATTTTTATTTTACAGGTGTGCAGTTACAGCTTTTCTCAAAAATGAAAATCCTTGTAAAACACAGTAGTTTACATAATAACATAATTATCAATTACACAATGAATTATCAAACAAATTATCAATTCATATACCTTCCATTCTCTTCATCTGCCTTACAGATATCGTGTAAAAATGATCCAATTCTTTCACAAGATTCCCTAACTGATCGCTGGTAAATAAAATATGAAAGAAGGTCAATTCTGAAAAGACAGTTTGCATGTACTACACATATACAGCAGCTGCTGTGGTGCTGTCTGGTGTAAAGGGTAATTTGCATTCATGGCTTACCGTCGAAGCTGATTCTAATCCTGTAGGAGTTGATCGCCCATCAGTGGCAGTAAAGGTTTCCTTTCTCCCAGTTATGATTCCTTGTGATGTATAATATGTAGGATCAGCTGATTTTTTTCTGCAGCAAAGTAAAATAACAAGATGACAAAAAAAATCAAAGCAAATTCACCAATCAAGACACAGAAACAATACATTATAGACATCTTAACTCTTTAACTCCCAAGATCAAATTGTTAATTCTCTCCTCTAGCTGCAACATATTTCCTTGTAAATTGGTTATGAGAATTTGCTGTTCAATCAAGATATCTTGTAATTGATAAGTTTGAGTATTCTTGCTACCTGTTTGCTAGATGCTGAATGAATACTTTAAGGAGAAGTTACATGTTAATCACTTCTGGGGGTTAAAAGGTTACATGTCCAAAACATCACACCTGTTCTGTTAACCCTGGGAGTTCCATGAAAAGATTCACAAAGTTGTGGATTACCCTTTTTATTTTGATGATAACTCTTGAGCTTTATAGTTCCCATCTTAATTAACCCTCCCAAAAGTGATCGACTTGAAACTTCTCCCAATGACAGCCATACATTATCTAGAAACAGGTTATGAAAATACTCAAACTTATCAGGTGGGAGTTATCTTGATCTAACACCAAATTCTTGGAGCTGATTTAGAAGGAAATGCCTGGCAGCTAAAGGGGAGAATTGAAAGTCAGATCTTGGTAGTTAAAGGGTTAAAAGGCACAGATAACCTTATATCATGAAATAGTACTTTGTCATCATTTCCTCCTAATCTGTTGCATGTGTTATTACTTTAACCTTAGGAGTAACTAGCATCTAATTTCTCCCAGCAGTCTCACCCCTGAATCAAACATGAAGGTCTCGAGAATAAAGGAAGTGATCACCAACAAGAGAAGCTCTTGATCGTTAAAAAAATTCTCCTTGACAGTGTCTTAGAAATGTAAAGAGAACAGTTAGGAGAATGTGAATACTGATGCTAAGGAGTAAAGAGTTAACAGAACAGTTTGGATCACCTTAGATATCTCTTAATCCTTTCCACTCTAACATCAGTATGCATATTCTCCATACTGTTCCTTATACATTCCCTAGGGTGCTGATGAGGAGAATTTGTTTCATAATCCTGAGCTTCTCTAGCTGGTGACTATTTTGTTTATTCTCATTACCTGAATGTTTGATACAGGGGTGATATTGTAAGGAGAAATTAGATGCTAGTCACTCTCAGGGGTTAAATGGTTAAGCATTCCCAAATTCTTCTAGGGATCACCATATAATTATCACAGGTTAAAGCTTTCATTCTGCACCTAAATAGAAAGATGAATTGTAATTTTTTTTTTAACTTTCACTCATAACCCAATCCTCGCCAGTATTAACGTATGAGAAATCATAGCAGTAATAGTATCACATTTCCTTGAATAATCTCCCATGCTCTAATAAGTGCCTTCCTTGAATAATCTCCCATGCTCTAATAAGTGCCTTTCCCTGAATAATCACTTACCCCAGTGCCAATATATCAAACAAGCACCCCCTTCCATAGGGATACAAGGAAACCCTGTTTCTATTGTTTAAGTTTTCAAGTTTCAACTACAGCTTGATCACTACAGCTTAACAATTTCTTAATAATGCCCTTCAATTAAGTGCTTACCCTCCAATGAGTGCCCCCCCCCCTCATTTTGCCAAAAAAATTAAATAATCACCCAGGCACTTATTCATGGAAATACATTTACTAAATGTAACTGTATTTATTTTCATTTGACAAAAAATGAATAAGAGGTTGAAAGAAAAACAATTGGGTTAAATTTGCCATATGTCTCATTTCTCTCTTGAATACAGTTAATTAATCTCAGAAACACCATACCTTGCAATATCCTTGTAAATTGTACTCTTATCATTAATCTGTTTAGCAAGGCTTGTGTACAACTCTACCAACAGTTTGCACTGCTTGGAATGGATGCTCAGCAAAGTAGTTCTTTTCATTAGATCAGAAATTTCCTGGGTAGTGTCAGAATATGCCTCCTCTGTGGTAAAATTAAAATTAGAGTTAAATTAAACGGAATTGATGTAGGTTGTAAGAGAAGAGGGGAAAGTGTGGAGACCTGGTTGTCATTGCGCTAGACTCAGGGTCAAGAAGTCCCGTTCCCAACCCTGAGTAAGTAATTTTGTTATCTCATTGGGCAGGAAACTTTCTCCTCACTGCTGACCTCTGCACCAGGAGCTGTAAATGGGGGCTGTAAATGGGTACCACCCCTAGCACCAGGGGCTGTAAATGGGTACTGCTAAACTGTTAGGGAAAGTTAACAACAGACTTCATGTCTGTTTTAAATCAGATTTCCTGTCTTGTGATTTTCCATTTCTTGTCAGATATCAATTGCTTGTTCCTTTTTTCTGTAACTTTGCATTGATAAGAGAAATATTTCTCTACCAAGATGGCAACTTTAAAAATAGAGATGAAGTCTTATAATCAAGTATGGATATAATGCACGTTGTCATTGGTTGAAAGAGTGTGCTCTATCAGAGTGTAAAACATAGAACTGAGCGGAAGCTGTCACACTCGTAAAGTATACATAGTTTCGTGTTCAAAAACAAAAAGGAACAAAACAGGAATGATGAAAAATATAGCCAAACTGGTGTAACTGTTAAAATTCATACTAATCATGACAGTGTCAGAGTGACTGCCATCATGCTGAAGTCCATCCTGCCTGCTTTGCAACAGAACAGAGCACAGTCATGGCTTCTCTATTTGTTAACTAAGACACGAGATAAAAATTCCACATTACCAGCCTCAAGAATCTCCTTCTGCAAGGCCCTCATTTCTTTTTCCAGATGTTGCACTTTACTTCTGACTTCCAAAAGCTCCTTAGTTAACAGAGAATGTTTCCCCTTGACATCTCCTCTTTCACTGTCCTCTGCTTTATCAACTACAGGAGCTGCCTGTTCATGGATCAGTTTTTGTCTAAAGATAGTTTCTGTTAAGGAAATGTGAACATACAAATACATGGACAGCTAAAAATTCAATCAAAAAAGGCACAAGCCTTTGGAGAGTGGTGGTAAGGGGGGAGAGAGGGGGTTGCCTAGTGGTGAGGGGGGGGGTTGCCTGAATACATGTTCTGCATGAAAATGTAGAGGTTTGAATTCTTGTTTGCACATTCTCATCTACCTTAGCTAACACAGAAGTTAGCAAGATAAAAAGGTAACATTAAATTGAGATTAGATGGGAGCTAAAATAGTGAGAAAATGTAAAACCAAATGTCAATGTGGTTTATGAAAATAAATACCAAGAATGCAACACTTATTGTACAAATTTCCTAACAGTCAGTTGTTGCTTCAAACTTAAGGTATTGGAATGTTGAGGGAAAGCTAATAGACAGTAGGCTAAGGTGTAA